TCTTTGATCACCCTTTTTAATTGTGATTTTTCTTTCCTTTCTTCTGAATATAAAGAAAGAGCTTTTAAGACGAGTTCGTCCTTTGAAATTCCTCCTTCTTTATGATTCAACAATAGGATTAATTCCCATTTAGTTTCCCTTCTATATTCTTTTTCTAGTTTTGGGTATAAACTTAACCATATACTATCTGCTGTGTTAATTTGTTTTGATAACATTTTCTTTTCTTCTTTTGTTAACTTAATATGTTGTCCTTGGAGTTGGTACTCTTCATTTTCATATATTATTCCTAGATTTTCGTTTTCTTCATATTTTAAAAGTTTCCTTCGTAACCTATCATTTTCCTCCATTAATTTCTCATTTTGATTTTTTAATTCTGTTATTTCCTTTTCTAGTTGTTCTTTGGTTATTTCAACAATAGGTAGTGGTTTTGCATGTTTCCAGAAGTTATCCATTTTTTTTTTAAATCGTGAACCTATTTCCTTCTTTTTTGAATTCTTCTCCCTTTTTAGATTTCTCCATGTATTCTTTATATAAATTTTTCTGATTTTCTGCAAAGTATGCTTTTAATTCTAAGTATTGATGTATTTGTTCTTCTTCGTTATAACATTCTGGGCATACTCCTTCTAAGAACATATCCATATTTCTCATATATTGTTCTTCAAACCTAAAAATCCATCTATGTTTCATAGGGTTTAATTTCTTTTGATTTTTCCATTTTTCTGATTGTGGTTCTCTTAACAAAGTCAACCCATCTCTCATTATTATGAGTTCTCGAACTCTCACTTTTAATTGTTTTTTTGTTTTTCTTAATTCTTTTATTTCTTTTGCAAGTTTTCGGATAAGGGTATCCTTTGAGATTCCTCCTTGTTTGTAATTCAACAATAGGATTAGTTCTTTTCTTAATTCCTTATCCTTTTGTAGTTGGTCATATAAGTCAGGCCATATTCGTGTCTCTAAGTCCTCTTCTTCTTCTGATAAAATTCTCTTTCCTTCTTCTGTTAACCTAATTTCTTCTACGTCTTCATCTATCTTTATTTGATAAGTATCATTAGTTGGGTTATAGTCTATTCCTACATTTTCATCTTCTTCTTGTATTATCCTAAATCCCCCTGTTAGAGTATTTAGTTCCTTTTCTTTTAATAATTCTTCTTTCAATTCTTCATTTTGTTTTTCTATTTTCCAGTATATTTTTCCAAATTCTCTTGTTTCTTTTTGTAACTTTTCATCTAATTTTGTTAAGGTTTGTTGAAGTGACTTATTTTTTTCTCTTTCTTGTCCTAATTCATTTTTTAATTGTTTTTCCTTTTCTTTATATGACAAAAAGCTCTTTTCTATCTTTTCAAGTTCTTCAAGTGCTTCCTTTTCTCTTTTCTGTTTTTGGTTATCCTTTTGTCTTAATTGTGCTATTTCTTGTTCTTTTTCTTGGATGATTTTAACAAGGTCTTTATTTTTAATTACTCGATTCATTTTTGTTGTGTTATCTTTTAGTACTTGTTATCATTTTGGTGGTATTTATAATTTTTTACTCTAATATTTCCATATCAATGGTTATTCCATCTTCTTCTGTTTCTTTAAATGCTTGATACCATTCTTTTATGGTTAGTTCTCTTTCTTTTTCTAATTCCCCTTGTGGTTCCTTTCCTTTAGAGTCATTTAAAAATTCTTGCATTATTACCATGTTTTCTTCCAGTTGTTTTTTAAGTATATCTTTCTTAAAGGATTTTTTCAAAGAATTCCCTAATATCATGGTATATATAATCCTAATTTTTATTTTTAATTTTACTAAGAGTTTTTCTAAAAAATTCAATTCATTCCACCTTTGGGCATCTAATAATGTCTTATTATTAATTTCTTGTAGTTTGTCAACCTTTCTTCTTGTAATATCAGTCATTATGTGTTCGTATTCTTGTCTTATGTTTTCTATCATTTCTTTAACACTATATCCTAAAACTAAAATTATTTGTTGGTCTTTTTCCATAGTTTGGTTTGTCATTTTTTCTGAAGTTATTATTGTCCTAGAGTTTGTTTTTGTCCTTTTTATACTTTTTGTAATATGAAATCCTTTCTGTTTAATCAATATTCCTTTCAATTTCAGAGTATTTCAAGTTATACCATTCTTCTTCTTTTTCTAATATTTTCTTTTGGTAATAATCCTTAAAAAATATACTATTGTTCCTTTGTTCTATTAATTCTGCCAATTCTTTTTCAATGTCTGTCATAATATCCATTTCTTTTTTTATTCTTTCTCTTAATTCTTTTTAGTTTTTGTGTTTTAAAATTGATTGTCTTTTTTGCCTAAACCATACATTTTCATTATTTGAATTTCCTCAATAGTTGTCATTGTTGTTTGTTTCATTTGGTTTTTTAAGACTTTTCTTTTCTCCTTTTATGCTTTCTATTAAATGGTCAACTCGTTGTTGTTTATAAAATTCAACCGTTTGTCTTAATTCATCACTTAGGAGTTGGTGTATTTCTTTTACCTTTTTGTTATTTTCTTTTAATTGATTGTTAATTACATCTGACTTTACTCCTATCTGTATTACCTCTCCTAATGCAATTATGTGCATTCCTTCAATGCTTGTTATTGCACAAATAAAGTTTTTTGTAGTCATACCAGATTGATTCCATTGTGAAATGAGATTTAATATATTTTTACAGAGTCTTTGCATTTCTTCAAGAATATCATCAAATTCTTGTATTTTATCTTTGTACCGTTTTCTTAAACTTTTTACTTGCTCATGAATATAAATCCCATTTTCTAATATTTTTTCAAGATTATTTTGGTTAGCCATAGTTGTTGATTGAACTTCTAGCTATAAGTCCCTAGTTTCTTTTATACTTTTTTTTCATTACCGTGGTCTCTTCGGAGATTTTGGGTTAAAATAGATGAGTCATACAGTCAACAAAAAAGAGATTTTTGTATCAGTATAAAGCCCTATTAGAGATGTTATGACGTTGAGTTTTTAATGAAATAAGTATGTCCCTAGACCATTAACTATGTTGTTAGTAATTTTTTCGGCTATCTGTTGAGTTGTACTATTAGTCAATATTTTATCTATATTGGCTTCTACATATGTCATTATAAAATCTGTTAGATATTCAGTGAACTTCCCTTTTAATTGCGATATTATAAATTCACGGATTATCTCTGTACATCGTTTCCTAAAATGGCTCTTAAGAAATTTTCCGGTCTTATCTTTTAAAGCAGTGATTATCAAATCCTTTAATTTATTTCCTAGTATAGATGTCAATGTCGTCATTAAGGCTGTCTGTATAAAATTTATCTGTGGTTCATGTATCTCATTTTTCATATTATTAGTTATCCTTAATAATTTTTGTTCTGTATTTAAATTATCAAAATATTCCGAGTGTTGTCAGTTTCCATAATAACTATTTCTTTTTCTGAAAACTACTTTTCTTTTCCCAGTATATTGTCTAGTGAAACCTTTTTTATTATAATTGTTATATTGCCTATTATAGTTATCTTCATTGTCATTTTTTATTATTAATCTACTTCCTTTATTATATTTTTTAGTAAATACATTTACTTTCTTATGGTCATAAGAATAATGTCCATTTCCATTGCATGAATGGCAAACCTTTCTCATTAATTGTATCTTTACTGCTGAAAGCATATTTCTTTTATCTGGTGTTGGACAATCTCCTGCCATATGTCCTAATCCTTGACAATTAAAACATTTGGTTGTACTATTCAACACTTCCTGTTCTTTTCTTCTATCTCTTGCCATTGATTTTGATTCATTAATTATATTTTGTGGACATTGTTTCTTTATGTGTCCTAATTCTCCACATATGTCACATGTTTTATCCTTAGTTGTTGATTCCATTCTTTTTCCTGTGCATTCATTTGCATAATGTCCTAATTCTCCACACTTAAAACATTTAGTTTGTTCTCTTTTCTGTTTATGCAATTCCA